CCTCGCACCATTATGCTGCGGTTTTCGTTGAACCGTGGCATAATATGCGCTGTAAAAAACCAACCCATTTTTTACTAAGTGCTTCCTTCTTGCATGTTTCCTTTCATGGCTATTCATCTTCCAATGGCACAATTCAACTCTTCCTTTCATTATATTTTTTTCTATTTTTCTGTTTAGTATTATGAAATATGAATGTCATGTATAACTGTTTTAATTTATAGTAAGTAACGTTGGCCAACAATAAATTAAATAAATTTTAATATATTTAGAAGAGGTAAACGAATTATAATTTATTGGATGAAACTATATACCATTAATATATAATTTTAGAATATATATCAATGACAAAAATAACTGACTTTTTGTTTAGTTTTATTGTGTCTGGATTCCTAATATTCCCAATTCTAAAATCACGAGTACAACTTTTACAAATTCAATGTTTGACTAGGAAAATCACAAATTACAAACACTTTATCTTGCATTGAACTACACTTACAATACATCAATTTCAAACTAAATATTTAAATTTAAAAGCATTATCAAGAGGAAAATCAAACAAATGTCAAACAATATTACATAGTAAATCAAGCAATTGGGTATGAAGCATCCATGGCAATGCCGCAAAGGCCTTCTTTAGCATCTATGCCTCGTTCCATTCTTATGTATCCTTGTTCACCCCATTCTGTGCCCCATGAATTCTTTACTATCCAAAACTCAGTACCATTATCGGTGATACCATAGCCAACTGCAGTAACACCATGGTCTAGTTCAGTTCCACATTCTCCAGTGAAAACCCCAGTTTTGTAAAATTGGAAAGCAGATCCTCCAGCATCAATGCTAACTGACACTGGTTGGTTTGCAACAGCTTTCTGCAGTGCGTCCTCACTATTTGCAGGTACCGTTTCATACCCTTTTATTTGAGCTTCAGGAGAAGCCTCTTTCGTTGTGTCACAAGTTCCATTAACTCCAGTGTAGGGGTAGTTAGCCTCACTGGTGATTCCACCATTTTTTATAATGAATTCGAAACCATCTTCCATGAGACCTCCATCACATCCTTGATCCACACTGTCACAATCCACTAACTCTTGCTCTGAGAGAGACACTAACTTACCTGTAGTTATCTGGTAGATACCTTCTGTTGCAGCAACAGTTGAAAATGCCCAGCAGCTACCTGGTTTTGAAACAAAATTTTAATTAATGTCATGCAATTGTTAAAAGGTTATGTAACAAATTATAAGGGTCACTTATATTGTAGGGTTTGGTTTGTGCTATACCACATTGGCCTTGGTCCTTGAATTGAGTAACAGCTCCATTTTGCCTCCAATCCACTGCAGTAGGAATAGGAGTAACGTTTTCATACTTGAACGATGTTTGTGCTGTTTCTTTCAACTTATGAGATCCCTTGTATCCAGTGTGGGAAGCAATGAATTCTTCGTTGGTTTGGTCAGCTAGGTGATTGATGCCAAGCTTGTAAGGTTTGTTGCCAGCAGCATTGAAGGATTCAATGAATTGAACATTGTCCTTGAATATGAGGAAACGTTTTTGCTTCTCTGCAGCATTCTTATATGTTTTACCATATTTTTTCATCCACTGCTCATGTCTTTGGGCCATGGATCCCTCATTGATGTTGCGGGACATTACTTGGGAAGTGAAAATTGAGAGAAGGAGAAGTAGAGCCAAAACGTGCTGGTTTTTCCCCATGGAAGTCATGTTTTTGTAACAAGATTGATCGTATGTAGAAGTTGTGTTTGAAAAACTGATATGCTCTGAAGGTAATGTTTCAAATGGTATATATACAAGTGCTGTCTCTTAAAGAAAAATGTTTATATCAGAATCTGAATGAAGTTGTTTTCTAATGGATGAACCTTATCATGTATGTCACCTTCTTGTAGCATTTAGATCTCTTCTGCGTTAGAAAACAAAAGAGCGCAAACACAGCATCGGATTTTTGTTCCAATATATATTAGAGATAACAAAATTGATGTTTGAGCATCTATTTAGAAAACTTTTATTAATAACAAAACAGAAAAAAATCAGAAAAAGGAATATATTAAATTTTTAAATATGATTTAGTACGTACGTATTGAATAGAGCGAGATATCTTGCCTCAACATGAGAAATCAAATAAGTTAGTAAATTTTGTATTTTAGTGCAGATGCCACATTATGTACTATTTGACTACAAGAATTGTGTTGTATTTGATGAATAAAAAACCTTTATGAACTTAGCATATTAGATACCACTTGATGAACTCTTGGGCTGCTGCCAGTGTGACGCAAGCAAATATATATTTTTTCTAACTTCCTAATTCAATTAGATGCCACATATTGTTTCGCATATGTAAGTTGTTTCAATGTATAGTATTAACTGATAATATGTACCTAAAAAATCTACATTCTGAATTAGTTTTATTTTTATAATTGGAATAAAAGGTAATTCTCTAATATTTTGGGAGTTCTCATGACCTGGAAAACAAAAATTTCCAATCCCCAGTCAAATAATTTAAATTTAAAAAATTGATTTCAAAACGTAAATAAATACTAGACATTATTGTATGAACTATGAAGTAATTTAAATTATCTAATAATTCTAAGTAAAAGAGAGATAAAAAGTACTAGATGTTTGTCAGTGCCTAACTTCTAAACATTTGATTCTTCGTCTGCATTTTTATATCTTTAATTATTCCAATAATGATATTTTTTTTCTACTTAAAAATGAATTATGAATATTACGTAAAAGGATTTATAACAAGTTAAAGTAATAAAATTATCTTATCTTGTTCCCATAATTTCTAATGTTGTCAACACCGAATTACATCCAATGTATCACATTCATAGTTATCCAATTGTTCACTACTCTAAAATAAAGTACTCTATAAATATTTGTTTAAAATAATTATTGAAAAAGGTTGTAGTAACCCTTGTTTCCTTTTTGTTTGATATTTGTGTTGTGGACAAATGAGGCATCAGTATAGAAACCTGGCCAATAGAATGTTCCAAAATAGCTGCCATAAAAAAGCGAGGTCAAACGTGTGACACAAGAAAGCCTCGGTCTAACCAACTATAACACACTAATTAATTATATACTGTAGACTGGTTAAGCCCACTCTAATGCCTCGATAACAATTTTTAAAATAAAAAATGAGCTTTTAATGTTTGTTAAATAATATATGATCATAAAGTGAAAATTTAATTAAAAAACAATATTTAAAACATAGTCATCGTTTTTTATTAAAAAAAATTAGAGTGGACCAGATCCATTCTACAATGACAATGGGTTAAACCCACGCTAATTAATTAATTTTTAATTAAAACTAAAAATTTGCTTCCATGTAAATGATGTTAAGGAATAATTAATTTAAAAATGATTTAAATACTAATTAGTTTCCTATTTTGGTCTAGTTTATTTAATTTGGTCGTTATTTTGTTATAGTATTTAATCAAGTCTTCTTTTTTATTAATTTTATTTAATTTAATTTTTTTCTCTAACATCATGTAATGAGTATAGCTGCAAAGGAAATCAGAAAAGGAAACAGGGACCAAAACACGTGACAAATGCAAGGGAATAAGGCGTAGTACTCAACCCAAGTTGGTTGATTTCGTGTGGTCTCATTGTGATCACTACGAATTT